CCACCCTTAATGAACATAGAACTATATCTGGAGATGCGGATGATGACTGTGAGTTGTGTTTGACACCTTTGATCCACTTTTGTTCGGTTATCTAGTCTCTCGAATATTTCCTCTTCTCGTTCTCTGACACTCTTCTTACTTTTTTGCCTGCTCGGCGATACTCACGTGTGATCAACAGGCCTACGCCAATCTCTGGGACGACATCACTAAGCAATTTCTCTCCCACTCCGCCCAAACGGTGCTCGCTTCTGCTGTCGCCTGCATCATGCACCTTCTCTCTTGTCCCTCGCTCAGCAACACCAACAGCACAAAAATTCTGGAACTCGAGGACGAGCTTGCAGCGCAGCTCCGTGACGCTGTTGGCGGACGGGAGGAGATCGAGGTAGCCGGATTTAATGAGGATGAGGTGCTTGCGCTAGGTGCTGTGTGCGCGCGAGTGTGTGCACTAATAGGGATGAGAGATATGTGCGGATGGATGGAAGAGAGCGAGGGCGGGAAGCAGAGTTGTGTGTGGGATATTATTGCTGCACTCGTAGAGCGGGGACGGTTGGGGTATAGGGAAGAAGAGAAGGTGAGTTTTATTTTGTGTGCTTTGTCAGAGTGTGGCTAATTGGAATGGTGTAGATGATCGAGCAGGGGCTGCAGGTTCTCGGGCTACATATTATGTGGAAGACACGGAGCTTGCCCGACGCTAAGGAGGCGACACTAGAAGATGAGAAGTATATGGAAACTTTGCGCGAGCAACGGGACTCTCTGCTCGAGAAGTTGGTAGAATACGCCGTTGGTACGCAGTCGAATACTGCCGAAGCTGTTAAACGTGCAGTATGTCTCTTCCACTAGTTTTCCGACCCGGGAGATATTGACACTTTTCCAGGCCTTCCAGAATCTTATGACATTGCACATTCTTTTCTGCGCGGAACAGACAACGACGCCGGATGGACGTGTGCTACCGACTGCTGCATTGCCACTTGAGCTTGATGACGAGGTGCAGTATCGCTGTGCAGGATTCATCCAAGCCGCGATTGAGCAGTACGCTGAGCTTTTCGAAGAGGGACAGGCGCCTGGGCAAGAAGAGGCAAGTGAAAGCGGAGCGAGCTCAAGCGAGGAGAATGTGCCTGCGAAGGGCAAGAAGGGTAAAATCAAAGCTAAGTCGCCTGCCATTAAAGGTTAGTCTTTGTGTCAGGTACTTTTGTCGATCGCTGAGATTTTCGGTCATGACATGCAGAGCAGCCACTGACGCGCACCCGTCTCGAACAAGAGTACGTGTTCATGGGAACGATTTCCACGTTCCTAAGGGCTATTCGCGCAGGCGCTGTGCATGTGAGACATAGCGCTGTGCTACTCGCACATTTTGGACGGCTTGGACCTGCATTTGATCTTTGCACGAAGGTAATCATCGATTCTCTGCGCGAAGAAGGGATGTACCGGGAGAATGGCGATGTTGTGGTTGATGTTGTCACTCAAGCGCTGAAGGAGGTATGTCTTATGCGTTTTGTCTGCAGACGGTCGCTAAACAACACTTCATCCAGTCATTTACACTTGTCCTTGACTCTGTTGTTCGCGGGGAAGACCATGTGGTTGCTCTCGCCAAGCAGCTCGGGCAGAGCTTCATGATCCGAGGTGCACAGCTCTCGATTATCAAGAAGCTTGACAGCCAATGCATCGTGCAAACACATACGAACCTCCTAACTTGGATTGTGAAGCGCATTGGCACATACGAGGCTGCCAAGAATAAAAAGGGGCGCAAAACAGCTATCTTGTTCTTCAGGGTCTTGCAACCTCTTCTGGCTGCTGTCGATAGCAGAGACGCCTTAAAGATGTAGGTTGCAAATGCTTCGAAAGGAAGCGGGATTAACTGACAAAATGACTTAGCAAAGCTCATATGGATCAAGTTCTTGCTCAGGCTAAGATCGAAGTTCCGCCATCATCCAAAATTTGGGAATCCCAACGAGCGTACGAGAAGAAGTTGTCTTCGATCATGGCAAAGGATAAAGGTACGTACTACGTACCTGAAATAGGCTTCCCGCCTTATCCTCTCTACCAGGTGGTGCAAAAGGTAGAAAGGCTAAAGGCGCAAAGAGTGCAGCAATGGTCACTAGCGACGAATCAGAGAGTGAACCAGAACCTCGACCAGCTGAGGAAGAACCTCCTGCCCCGAAACCACGCCCGAAGCCGCGCCCTCTACGCCGCCAACGGTCTCCTACCTCGTCTTTGTCGGAGCTTGAAACAAGTGACCCAGAGGCTGGGGTTCAGGAAGAAGCCAATGAAAAACAAAAACCCGAAGCTAAGCCGGAGGTCCAGGCGGAGCACGAGCAAGAGCAAGAGCAAGAGCAAGAGCAAGAGCAAGAGCAAGAGCAAGAGCAAGAGCAAGAGCAAGAGCAAGAGCAAGAGCAAGAGCAAGAGCACGAACAAGAACAAGAGCATGAACAAGGACAAGAACAAGAACAAACCACACCGAGGAATCATTCTCGTCCCCAAGCAACATATGGCAGGTCACCGACAAAGACACCACCTGTCCCTCCTGTATCTAATGGTATCACCCCTCCACCTACACGAAAACGGCAGAGGACAGATGAGGATGATGAGGATGCTGGAGAGAAGAGTGGAGTTGAAACTATGGAAGCTAACAGTGATGCTGATACCCCCGGAGATGAAGCCCCTCGAGAACAGAGCCCGTTGACTGAAATCATTTTCAGGAGAAAACGTGCTCGTCATTAGTACGAGCAAGGATTTTACGAGTTTTTATACTTATTTGTGACTTGTCAGGCCTGGCTTTATCTTGCTGTTTACTGTTATACTGTAGGTAGGGTTAGAGACCAAAATGTAGCCGATTACTATCAACTGGTCTTATAAGAATCCGCTGATGTCTCAAAATCGACCATTTGCAAGTGCCAAGCATCACTTCAAGTCTCCCTTGCAATTGAATGGTCAAGCGATGGCAAATTTCAACCTAATATCATGACTTACAGGGATACGATCGAGCTGCGTATAGCGAGCGAGCAAACCGCCGCGGTCGTCGAGGGAGGTCCTGCTAAGAACATCAGTGAATCGGTGAACAAATTACAATTTCATATGTAAGTATATATTACTAGTAATCACAACAATCGCCGTAAATCTGGTGGGGGGGTTTACTTGGAAATGTCTGGCATTATGAAGGAAAGACGAATTTTAAAATAAATAAACCAAGTTGCCCTAGCCTCTATGTACGATTTAAGACGTGAACTAGTCTATGGATGAAAAATGTGATGCCAATTCATGAAGTGGATTTTGGAACCATTATTGCCAAGACGAGCACAAAGGTCGCTACTTACATGAATACCGCACCCTTTTGCAATCTTCAAACCAATAGAACCATGCCTTGCATGAAAAAATTCGGTTAAAATATGACAGTTGAAAGTCTTGATCATCTGGTTTGTGTTGTCTAGTTCTCGCATTCACGGCGCAGGTGGAGCTCTGTGAGTTGATATTGGAAATTGTTGTATTAAATGAGATTTTGCCATGCCGCTCGAGCAGCAGCTACAAAGTGCTAGCGTCCAAAATCCTTCATTCAAAAAGCGGTTGGCAAACCAAATCACAAGAGCTGCACTTGGCGGATGAAGCAACTGCGACAGGCATTATATCAAAATACTTCTCAGCCAATGGGAGACATACTGAAGAAGAGATAGATTTTCGGGCGTTTGCAACTTTTTGAAAATGTCACCTTGTGTGAACGAACACGAAGTATACTACCTAAATGAAATGCAAGATATATCACACATAATTTGTTACCTTGTTACGCAGTCAGACACAACGCGACACAGTGCCGCAAATACTTGATTTATATAGCAACAAAAAGACTGCCCTATTCTCAATACAAGGTAGATGTTAGCATATACGTTATAGTTCACAAATTGGTGAGAGGCTCCAAACACTGAGGGAGAGTTCTTCTACCAGCAAAGCCTCCAGCGACTCACATCAAGGCACTTGGTTCTCGAAATACCTTGAATGAGCGAGTCGGTACGTTCTGATCAGCTTTTCCAAAGACAAATAACATCAGATCATCACCTTGTGTAAAATCAAACCTCTAGAATGTCGAGCAAGTTCAAAGATTTAGCAATAGCGACGACGTCTCAAAATGTTCAGAATTTTGGCGCAGCACTGCCACCACACACGGGCAGTGCTACATTGTAATATCATGTCATCTTTGGCATCTTTACAACTCCGCCCCTTTTGACGTCGAGTTTCTAAGTTCGCCGATGCTCGCGCATGCTCGCGCGTTATCACATATGCAGAGTTTTTTCTCTTACAACAACAGAAGCAACTTGCTTATAAGTCACATCGTTCAATTCCTTATTTCAGAAAAATAGTATATTTTTCTCGTTGTATGCAGGAGTACCAACTACATCTGTCCATGAAAAAATCGGTAATTTTATCTGGGTGCATACAGGAGTATAACAACACCCGTCCATCAGATATCACCCCTTCTGACCTCGAGTTTCTAAGTTTGCCAATCTCGCACATTCTTGTGTGTTATCATAGACAAAGAGTATTTTCTTATACAACAACAGATGCAACTCGTTGACAAGTCACACCGTCCAATTTTATATTTCAGAAAATGAGCATATTTTTCTTGCCGTACGCGGGAGTATAACTACATTAGTCCATCAGAATATCGGCAATTTCATCTTGGTGGATACACGAGTGTAACAACGCCTGTCTATCGGAAAATCAGCATATTTTTCTCGTTGTAAGCAGGAGTATCACCACATCTGTTCATCACAAAATCGGCATATTCTTCTTATTGTCTACAGGAGTATAATTACTCAGATTATCGATATATATATATATTTGTTGTATACGCGGTACGTCGATTGGTAGATGTATCTGACAGAAAGATTAAGGGTTGTCACACAATGATTCATTCACGGGGTGTCACTGGCAGATATGGGAGACCGCAATCACATTAGTTTCAGAGAGTATATTACTGAGTAACAATAGGCACTAAGATACGGCGATGAACGTCAAGAGTCAGAATCCAATGCAGCATCTTCCATCGCTAGTCTCTGAGCAGCAAGTGTACGGACGGACATCCGGGAAATTACGTCCGACGTCAAGTCTTGTCTGTGATTTCTTCCAAAAACTTTTCTGTACAGGAATTAGCGATCAATGCTACTCATTGACAGTCCATGCTTACCTGGTCCACCACTCAAGAAGTTCATTGACCCTGGCTCGCGCAGCTGGACCCGGAGCATCCTCGAAGAAATCTACGATATTGGTCCAGAATATCTCGTAATCGAAATCTCCGTCTACGTTGCGCCATGAAGTGATACTAGAGAGAGCGAATCAGATCTGCAAAACTCGTCATCTACATCACGGTTATAGGGCGATGCTTACTTGACAAGCTGTATATGCAATCGCCCGAGGAGTAACCTTCCTCATACCGATAATAGATGCAACACATGTCTTTACCTTGGCTTGATCTTGTCTCCGTGCACGTCGATTGTTCTCGATTATATCGGTGCCTTGACCTTCACCATCCATCTCGCTGGCAGATGAGGGAGAGGTAAAGAGGGCCTTCAACCCCTGCGATGTGATTATGAGACACGAACCAATGAGAAAAATCAGCTCACCATCACTAATAGCTTAGATTTCATGAGACCGTGCTCTAGATTGCCGGCGTCAGCTGCACAGTTTTGATACATAAATAGGGGCCATGAATTTTCGGAGACGATGAAAGCGGTCGTACGGTCTCGAATGCTGGCCTTGACACTGGACTGCATAGTATCAGCGACATATAAATGAAGACAGTAAAGAATACGGAATATCACTTACGCAGGATCATCCCAGCACCATTCCGCTGGACAGAGCAGCTTACCACATGTGTCGTTTACAAACCCTCGATGATGCTTGTCGTTGGTCGAGATGAGAGGAGTTGGACGAAACTCGATGTTTACCCATGATGCTACGAGCTCTTTAAGGGTACCCGTGTCATCGCCGCGAGCCGAGTCCGCACCTCGCTTGAGCTACATTTGAATCGTACTAATGAGGAAAAAGTGACATAAGAAGTTCATGAACAGACCTTTTTAAGCATGTCTTCAGACTCCTCGTCGTCAAGACTTGCTATCTTGTCGTGAATCCATGGCAACGCCTTGACAAGTTCGACATAACTACGTTGTAGGCGGTCTTGCCTGTCACGCCGGTGCATGTCAGGATATGGTCATGATAAAGCAAGATGAATACTAGTACTTACTCTACAGTGGAAACGCCGGAAGTATCTTCATATTCACACCGTCGGTCGTTTTCAGCAATTAAATCCTCTATAGGAGTGTACAAGGCGACCAAACGACGGATTGCTCGACCCTGTGAAACATAATACGTTGTTTTCCTTGATAAGAAATTAAGTTAAGACTGCGTCTTTAAAAGTCTGAGCAAGTCTGACGCACCTCTGCTTGGTTGCTTTGTCCTGCTTCAAGAGTTCGACCTCTTCCATCAAGGTGGCTATTCTTCTCTTCGCCCGAGCCTGAGGAGAGGTTGGGACACGCAGGGATATCATCCCCGAAGGAGGGCTTCCTGAGTCATGCCCTGATGCAGACATGCCGCAAAATCCGAGTCAGATAACAGGAGAGACGAAAGGGTGTAGAACAAATGAGCCGTAGGACGGTTAGCTATCTTATATATCGTTCCTGCATAGTTAGTCATGGTGATAAGCATTCTCATAATATACTAGCCCGGTGGAACTTCACTGACTCACCTTGAAGAAAATCTTGAGCATTCGTAAGTTTCTCCATCGTTTCTCTTGCCTGTTTTGGCAGGGTGACGTGACTCGGGATGCAGTAATCGTTTACCGCAACTTTCCGTCAGTGTCTACATTGTTTTTCGAGCTATATTGGGTGGGGAAGTTTAAGCTGTGCCGTCGGCGTCATGGAAATAATAGTAAATTCAAGTGTTTTCGTACTAACTCATGCACTTTGGCCGAAGTCTGAAGTTATTGCAACTCGTTTCTCTGAGCTGAGAGCATGATAAAAGGCACATGTGCAAAGTGGGTGATGAGCTTGTATTTTCTCCGAATCGTCATGTCACAGCCTCGCTCAGATGCGCGACGGGAGACTCGTAGACCTCGCAGTAGTGTTACGATTAATTCAGTCTCTTCTGTTCGTCAGCGCACTCGTGCACAAACCGCTGCGTATCTGCTTGGTATTCGTCCAGAATTACCCGATATCACTGATACCGCAGAACAGTACCAGGCCCCCGAGCTTGATAAAAGTAAGTTGTGCAAGCAACGACCCCGAGTCAGGTGGAGATGCTCACGGTTATGCTAGTCGAATTTCGAGTGCCATTACACACTATGGATAGGAGCCAATCGACCACGTATGTGGGCAAGCTGCACTCCGAATCAGATGGTCGGCAAGACATATTTGACTCCATCAGAGCTATCATGGATGTTCCAGAACTGTACGAACACTTAGGCTGGTGATTGTCTACCGCCCGCCGCACGGATCCCCCCCACCGGCTTTTAACTGTGCACGACATCGACAGTGCTTTCAAAGCTGCAAGGGCGGATAGCTCTGGGAGGCGACATAAGAAAGTTGCCATCGAAATCCTCAATACGGTATGTGACTTGGTATGTGAGTGATTTGCACGATCTGACCTACCTTCACAGGAGCCCACACCCAAAGACAAACCAGCAAAACAAAGGACAGACATACCTGCTATAACCGAGCAGAGCCTCCTACCATCCAACATATTCGTGATCTCCAAGGGGGCCCTTGGCAGACAACAAGAAGGCCAGGCGGTGCCTCAGCCGCTGAAGAGAACGTATGCACTTTATTTGGATAATGACGATGAATCAAGTGACGATGAACCGCCGCAAGAAATCGAGGACGTTGTGACGAGTGTCCACTCTCGCTATCCTGCCATGAATTTCCGTCAATATATCGGTACAATGAAAGATCGGGGCATTTTGTACCTGTCGACCGCAGCTCATTTCAATTCTGGATTCTACAAAGAAAAAATAGGCATGTCAGAAGGCGCTGCATATACTTTTCATAGTTATGTTGAAAACACTTACATCAAGGCAGAACGTAGGAAACGGGGAAGGAATGGTAAAGGGAAGAAGGTGCAAGCTTCAAGTTGACATAACGATGAGGATATAGTACTGCACGAGGCACATTGACTTAGAATGATGAAAATGGGTCTGTGCTACTTTGGTAACAGGCAATCAGCGTCTATATAACGATAGTCACAAAATATACACATACCCTGCCGCATCACTAGGTCTATGTAGTACCATAGCCTCGAAACGGACGACACCCTCGCTCTTATCAGGCCAAGTTCATCTGGTATTGGGAAAGGTTTTGCCGGAATAGGACTTGGCAAGAGAGTACTGGGCCCGAGCGTACGAACAACACAGACTCTGCAGATTGTTGTATTGTTGGCAATGTCGCGCGTCCAACACAAAGGAAAGGTGGTGTCTGAAGCTTGGTTGAATGCTGCCAGGGTGCGATGGGTGCGATGGGTGCTGTGCTGCCTCATGATACCAACAAAGACAAACATAGCGTTCGTGCCCTCACTGAGCAATGTTCTACTGTAAAAGCGCATGCAACAAATATCAATATCAGGTAGAATTGACCTCACCAGCTGCATTATTTGATGCCACAGGAAGTTGAACAACACATGGTAATATGTATGGTGACGTTCACGTGCAGGCAGTCGATAGCTCAATACCCTTAAGGTTCATATGAATATGAATATGAATTTTATATTTGGCCATCTAAATATAAAATGCCCTTAGCCCAGCGTCACATGTTGATACCCGCTGACTTGAAAAAAAAAACGCACCAGCTTGGGTAAGCGTAAATATACATCTGTTGCTTCATAAAGTCAACACGAGGCCCGAATGCGACGGGCAAAGCTTACTCACCCCAGCCCATTCAGGGAAACCAGCTCCAGGACTCCCGAAATACCTGTAAAGGTAGCTCAGTTAACCGTTATGAAGGCACTAGCCAAGAACCACGCACGGTGTAAACATGTTACTACTCATAGTAGGTAGGCCAAGCCCTATTCTGGGATCAATGCCAGCCTTGCTGCGTTCAGAATCTTTATTGTTTGAATTCACATTCGACTGTTCAGTCCGCCATGGGCGTATTTTCAGTAGCTTTAACGCCTCTCGAACTGGCTGAGCGTAGCGCGCCCAGCCATGCGTCATCCATGCGTGTTGCATTGCGAATGTGAGAAAAAGAGAAGAGGTCGGAAGGTGACTTGATCCGAGCAGATGAGAGTCCACCACCTATAGATATTGCCTTAACATTCATCTGTAGGCGAGAAAAGGGGTGCCAACCTTGATCAGATATTCTCACCCGAACGTCGTTCTCGCCAAGAACGATGGTAGCTCGTATAGGAGGAAGGTTAGGTGAACTCCTGTGATCCAGTCCAGTAGCGGTTATTGCCTAGAACGCCATCAGTCAACCGCTCTGTTAGATGTGATCCGAGAACCTGCACATTTTTGAGAAGTTCAAATATGATGTACCTAGAAAATGAGGCGTGGGTGAGATTGAACGTGATGCAAGTGAAAAGATTTACTCGAGGTGTTCACGTATGTAGGAAAACTTAGTGTCAACGTGACCATCAACGATCACTTCCGGCCATCCGCGATTCGGCACGCTTTCCCCAATCTCATCGACTATATCATGTGGCCTGCCATGCAAGAGCGCGACACACTTGTCAATGGAATCCCTGAGGTTGAGCGCAGTGTAAATGATGCCAACGTGTGGGTCCTCGGGGTGATTGAGGCTGTTGGTTCCAAGGGACTTCGAGAGCACAAGGTGATGTTCGGCAAGAACACGTCTTGAGATTCGGGATACGAGCATGCACCTCATGAATGCATCTAGTGAACCTGGTGGAAGGTGCGGAGATGAAAGGGAGAGTCCCAGCGACAGACTTGGTACGACGGATGCACTGGCATATTAGTAGTTAGAACCAGGAGCGCGGTGGACCGAACTTAATGGTGTATTACAGTGACTGCTCTTCTAGGACACTCCAGGAATTTACAAAAGGCTCCTCCAGGGTATTGACTTGAGGGTCACTGTGCCTACTAGTAAATCTTATAAACAAGTCAGAAAAGGTGCGTTATACAGAATCAAGTCACTGACTTTTCAGACGCCGCAGACCAATACAACCGTTGTGTAAAGTTGCCCCCGAGGTCGACAACAAGCTATCGGAAGTAATGTTATTGGAGTAAACCTCGTAGACTTGAGCTATGCCCTCCTGAGTTACTAGTACTAAGCACCAAGGCTAGTACGGTACATAGTAGTAGTCACGTACGGAAGGGCTGGCAAATCCATCAGTCCAAGTGTGTGCGATGCGGACAGGCCGCGGCAGCTCGGTGCAGAGACCAGTAAGAGTCTAAGAGTCTTGAAGTGCCTTAGTGACTTAGTGTCAGGCGTACTAAGCACGTGCATGCCAGCTATTTTGAAACCGCTGTAGAGACTCGTGCATCTCATAGTGTGATATGGCGCTTTACACTAGGGAGTATACAGCACCAACTCGCAGCATCACTCTGTGTACCATCCACAGTGATTCCTATATGACGCGCAGCTTTCCCGTGCAATGCGCGCCATGCGCGCACCATTCCCGCGCTTCACGATGTATACGCGCGCGCGCGTTCCCGCGCTTGCGCGCCCTATAGCGCCAGCCATCCAGATGCATCCATCCACTGTCCACCAAGCTCCCTAGTGCGTATATTTCCATTTCCTTTATTAGCATAGTTCCACCTTTATTTTTATCATAGTTTCTCACTCGTATATATTTTTACATACCTACTCGGTAGCGCTTCGGCTCCGCATGAGCGCGCTTAGGCGCGCTATATAAGCGCCAGCAGTACATACTATTATTTACCTTACTTTTCACCCAACTTTACCTAGTACTTACTACTTAGAAAGTCGCAGTAGAAATCTATTCATTAGCACAACACATCTCACATCCTTTATCTTGCTTATATCTTCACATAAGTTTAGTCTCTCTTATTTCCGCTTACACGCGCGCGCTTTCCCGCGCTTCGCGCTAATACGCGCGCGCGTTCCCGCGCCTTCGTACCTTGCGCGCACCTGCGCTTTCTCGCGCTTCGCTGAAGCGCGTACCTCTAGATCTCCGCTGCACCTGCTTCCCCTTTAGGGTCGAATGCACTTGCCATCTCAAGTATCGCAGACTAGGCAACGCACGACCTACAACTTTTTAGATACAGTCAGGAGCATTTCTTTGTTCCTCTCAGTATTGTTGTTTCTACACCGTCATACATCCCCAGCCTCCACCAAATTGTCGCCACCCTGCCATCCCCAATTCACGAGTCGATCCTTGTGCCTTTGCGCACTGCGATGGGGATCATCGTCGAGTCTCTCGACATCCCTGATGACTTCGAGGTCTCCTTACCCATCCACATGGGGCGTATGGTAGACGCCCCCGCTACCGCAGAACTTCCTTCTCCTCAGGATGAGACTCAGGGTTATCACCTCGGAGTACCGGACCTGGTGCTAATGTTCCAGACCCGTGATGACGACATCCGTCCCTTCTGGCCATTCGAGGTTTCCGTCTCCCAAACTGCTGAAGGCGCCGTCGCGAAGTTGCAGAAGTTTGGCGATCGGAACGAGCACGTTTTGGCCGCCACTCACATCAACATCGCTGAATCCCGGAAGCACGCCTCACCGACGTATGAGTGGGGTGTCGCGAAGAAGTTGAATCGGAGGGGAGTTCAGATGGGGGAGTTGACGCAGTCGGAAGATGGTGCATTAGCGTCGCACTCTCATACATGGTATCATCCTGCGACGGTCACCATCACCACTTGGATCCGTCCTCCTAACAGGCGATTGAACCTCAACTCTCGACATCGTGCTTACTGTGCGAGTGCCGTACGTGTCCCTTGGATTTTTCTAATACTAACACTAAGCATTCGCACTATCAGGTACTTTATCCCAACCAGAACGAGCAGGCCCTCGCCAAAGTTCAAAACATATTCCAACGCACGCTGGAGCAAGTGCGCGATACCGTTGTTGACCACCTAGAGGCTGAGCACGCGGATGACGATACGCTCCTGTAAGCACTGCTATTTTACTGATGATCGTAAATTCATCAGTTCGATTGTTTCCAGCGACTCACTCCAAGCCATGAGGGACTGGTCTCCACCAAGGGAGCTGCTCGATTGGAACAAGTGCAGCAAGGACCTGCGGTCAGCGATGAAGCAGACTGGATTCAATCGGTACCGCGCATGGCACCGCAGCTTCCTTAAGCGTGTAGCCGATGAGGCCGAGGTCTCGGGATCTAGACCTGGACCGAGCAAGAGGGGCAGGGTCACATAGCGGCACGTCTCGTTCTGTGTCTCGCGCAAATTCTCGATGTCTTTCAAATCGCACTTCACATGTTTACCCCCCAAATTGTATTACTACTACGTGCCTCCCTCCTCAGATTGAAATTGTACTAGTACTACCGCATCATGATCGTTTTCATTGTTTTGCACGCTGTCATTGTAGTCCGAGTCACGGCAGTACTACACTAGTATGATATAATGGTTTTTTCACTGACCCACTAAACGGCCTACTACTCATGAACATTTGGACCACCACTGGCGCCTTCTTCCATTTGACCTTGTCATAGCGGTGTAGAAACAACAATACTGAGAGGAACAAAGAAATGCTCCTGACTGTATCTAAAAAGTTGTAGGTCGTGCGTTGCCTAGTCTGCGATACTTGAGATGGCAAGTGCATTCGACCCTAAAGGGGAAGCAGGTGCAGCGGAGATCTAGAGGTACGCGCTTCAGCGAAGCGCGAGAAAGCGCAGGTGCGCGCAAGGTACGAAGGCGCGGGAACGCGCGCGCGTATTAGCGCGAAGCGCGGGAAAGCGCGCGCGTGTAAGCGGAAATAAGAGAGACTAAACTTATGTGAAGATATAAGCAAGATAAAGGATGTGAGATGTGTTGTGCTAATGAATAGATTTCTACTGCGACTTTCTAAGTAGTAAGTACTAGGTAAAGTTGGGTGAAAAGTAAGGTAAATAATAGTATGTACTGCTGGCGCTTATATAGCGCGCCTAAGCGCGCTCATGCGGAGCCGAAGCGCTACCGAGTAGGTATGTAAAAATATATACGAGTGAGAAACTATGATAAAAATAAAGGTGGAACTATGCTAATAAAGGAAATGGAAATATACGCACTAGGGAGCTTGGTGGACAGTGGATGGATGCATCTGGATGGCTGGCGCTATAGGGCGCGCAAGCGCGGGAACGCGCGCGCGCGTATACATCGTGAAGCGCGGGAATGGTGCGCGCATGGCGCGCATTGCACGGGAAAGCTGCGCGTCATATAGGAATCACTGTGGATGGTACACAGAGTGATGCTGCGAGTTGGTGCTGTATACTCCCTAGTGTAAAGCGCCATATCACACTATGAGATGCACGAGTCTCTACAACGGTCTGAAGCAAAACACAGAATCAGTTCAAATTTGGAAAAGGGAGAAAAAAATTCACTTGCGAATTAGTTTATCGTCACATCCGATAGCATCCAAAACATATACATAATCATCTTCTGTAACGTTGGAAAATACCTACCACGGCAATCAGCCTGAGAAAGATAAGGAACACACTGCTTCCCATACCTCAACTTCGGGCCCATCACCACCATTCCGAATTCTGCTGATAATCAGCTGGCGCAAACCTGCAAAACTTAAACATAAATTACATGGTCTTGAACTTGCAACAGACGTACCAGGATCTTGCATGACTGATTCTTCATTATTTTCTTGTTTCGTTTCTGGTGTTGCCTGGGGTTCCTTTGTTGCTGCCAGGCTTGTAGTTGACTCCACAATAACGGTGGTAGCTCGACTTTTTGCAACATTTATCGCAGGTGTTGAATGCCTCTTGACATTCACTGAAGATGGTTCTTTGAATGGTCCAGGAAGTATGGAGGGCTGGGACTGCCAGCCACTGTTGTACTGTAACAAACCAACGGGAGGCATGATTTTGAAGGGGTGATTCCTTGTTAGATTTGGCACACCTTATAAGTGAAAACTGCGGCGTAAGCCGGTGTTTAGCTCTTAGCCGGTGTTTTCTGCTGTCAAATAGGAGTCACACAGGAGCAGCCTGATAATCATGATAGGAATAACCATGACAAAAGTAACTTGCCCTGCTAATCCCATCCCTTCACATCTTAAATGGGACATAGAGGCTGGGTGCAGTGCAGGCCCAAGTGTATGAGTCCATGTGTTCAAACTTTACTCTATCAAGCATACCCTTCGCATCATTGTCATATTTGCACACTATCATGTATATAGTACATTTGTGATACTAGCACCATACTAATTGAACCGGCTCGTCCGAGCAATACCAGACTTCCCTATGAACGTCACTTGAGAGTGAGTAACTCCCCTAAGATGGTTGCCCCCTTTGGGTGTAAATGCCTGCAACTAGGACGCTACGTACATCGCCCCTCATTGACTTGTAGAGACTTTTCGTCGAAAGCCACCCGGGCGCGGGACAGGTCAAAGTCACTGGGGATGAAAACACCAGTAGACAATTCCCTCAATGCCCACTCAAATAATGTCCCAATGAAAGCAAATAATGCCCCAAGGTCTCGGCTGGGGTTGACATATTCCTGGAGGTCAAGTTGATGGAACAGTACGTGCTGCGCAAAATGCCGCACTACTCTGTTCGCAAAGGGCACGCCGACTATAGTCTCTCCTCCCACCTGACCATAAAGCCATGAGCATATTGTAGCCTGAAGGAGAGAATAATGCCGGACTTACCTTGATATCTCCGTATAGGAACGCGTCACCTTGCAGAAGGTTGCTGACGGTAAGCTCTATCTCCTCTTGTGTTTGGGTTGCCAAGGCTTCATCCAAATTGTAGCCAAATAAGACTGCCGTCCGAACTATATCCTTGACCTTTTTCCTGAGGTGCTTGGCAGTCTCGCCAATTTTTTCTGCGTGCTTTTTGGCGTCACTCCCACGGGACCACAAGGTAAGTTCAGCTGTTCTCGATATCAGCTGTCAGGTTACGATGAATATTGTGAGACTTACGATCATTGAATGCCGTTACGACAGCAGTGAGACTGGCAATCGCCTTTTTTGATCTTTCCTTGGATGAAAGTAGAAACGAATCGTCGAGCATCGACTGTTTCATGCCCTTTTTGGCCTTCAATTTTACCTTGAGTAGGCTCTCAAGACTGAACAGCGCAGAAGTTGGGGGCAATGACTCGGATGTCGTAGACAATGGTGCTGCAGGATGTGGTACACCTGGCATCAGGCTGTGACATGATGGGCCAGCATGATGTTCGGCATCGTCACTAAGACCATGCCTGCCACGATGAATGTCAGGCCTGTCAATAATTTTGTAGGGGGTGTATCGACTTCAGGATGGCGGCGGTGAGTCAACCTGACCCAATGATAGCGGCAGGTCGAAGCGAACATTCGACAGGCGGGCGTGAACATCACTGCCAGCGACTTCAAGGGTGTATGGATGCGGGACTGCCGTGACTCCAGCCTCTGGGGCACTGTCAGTTGCGTCCGAGTCACCGAAACTCATGACCAAGGCCAAAATTTCCTCGGAGGATAAGGCTAGTGGGGTCTCTGTGGGGGTGTGATGAACCTGACTTGGCGCAGGAGCTGAACTGTTGTGCGGGTTTGACTCGTTTTCATGGGACAGCGGTGCTATGATGTCCAGCGAGGCGGCAGGCCGCATATCTGAGTCAGGCTAGCCTGACCCGGAGTCTGCCACTGGCGGCAGGTTCATCATTTCATCCCACCATTGTGACCATTCATACTCGGACATCTTGACATTTGAGTCTGGAGGTGGCTGAAAGCTGCAGTGGCTAACATCATGATCATCACCAAGCTCCTGGCGACGTGCAGTTTGATCTGAGCCTGGAGGAATCATAATGATGTTTGCCAAGGGACAATGGCGGTGGTTTGGAGTCAGGCTGAAGTGCCGCGGTCGAATACTGAACTTTGATATTTAACTTTAGTACTTACTGATAAACTAGTGACTCCTTGGTTGAGCCCCTTACTGGTATAATGCCCAGCCAGCGTGTCTTTCAGCCGCGGTCGCATATGAATCGCTAGCCGGACTCACTGCTGTCAGATGCTCGTAATGATGATAATGATAACGGCGAGGCATATTACATGTGTGACTTACTACTATGATATGCTATCGACAATCGATCATCAAACGTTATAAATTTCGACCATTCAATAGCCACTGCTTCTTCAATAGAGAGCCGCTTAGTTCTAGCGGTGTAGAAACAACAATACTGAGAGGAACAAAGAAATGCTCCTGACTGTATCTAAAAAGTTGTAGGTCGTGCGTTGCCTAGTCTGCGATACTTGAGATGGCAAGTGCATTCGACCCTAAAGGGGAAGCAGGTGCAGCGGAGATCTAGAGGTACGCGCTTCAGCGAAGCGCGAGAAAGCGCAGGTGCACGCAAGGTACGAAGGCGCGGGAACGCGCGCGCGTATTAGCGCGAAGCGCGGGAAAGCGCGCGCGTGTAAGCGGAAATAAGAGAGACTAAACTTATGTGAAGATATAAGCAAGATAAAGGATGTGAGATGTGTTGTGCTAATGAATAGATTTCTACTGCGACTTTCTAAGTAGTAAGTACTAGGTAAAGTTGGGTGACAAGTAAGGTAAATAATAGTATGTACTGCTGGCGCTTATATAGCGCGCCTAAGCGCGCTCATGCGGAGCCGAAGCGCTACCGAGTAGGTATGTAAAAATATATATGAGTGAGAAACTATGATAAAAATAAAGGTGGAACTATGCTAATAAGGAAATGGAAATATACGTACTAGGGAGCTTGGTGGACAGTGGATGGATGCATCTGGATGGCTGGCGCTATAGGGCGCGCAAGCGCGGGAACGCGCGCGCGCGTATACATCGTGAAGCGCGGGAATGGTGCGCGCATGGCGCGCGTTGCGCGGGAAAGCTGCGCGTCATATAGGAATCACTGTGGATGGTACACAGAGTGATGCTGCGAGTTGGTGCTGTATACTCCCTAGTGTAAAGCGCCATATCACACTATGAGATGCACGAGTCTCTACATCTCCCAGGGACTTAAATTCTGAGTGTCCCCACTCAGTGTGCGCATGGTGAGGATTTTGCGTGATAGTATGTGTGCGCGATGCCTGTATGATGCTTGGGTCGTTGGGCGATGAATGCGCAAGTGCAGGAATTATTGTGTGGATGTGCGTGAAGCGTGGGAAGTTGCGCGCATGGTACGCGCAAGGCGCGAGAATGTGCGCGCGCTATGCGTGAAAGCGCGGGAATGAAGCGTAGCATGGCAAATTGCAAGGGTGACTCTGGTGTGAATAGTGTTCCCTGGGTGTGAGGCGATGATGTGAGAGTGATATGGATGTGGCGCGCATATGGCATAAAGCGCGAGAAAGTGCGCGCGTGCAAGGCGCGAGAAAGCGCGTGAGTGTCGCATGTGTTGTATTGTGCGTATGATGCGAAGTGGTGCGGTCCAAGAGCGATCCAATCCAAGTCCAAACCAAGTCCTGCTAGGCGCGCTAAATATTAGGTGGTAAGGTTTGAACAGTGTGAGTAAAACTATATGTGAAAATGCGAAGGAAAAAATGGTAAACTTTGCGGATGTCCTATCCGACTTGTCTTCTTCGTGCGGCTGTCGACATCTACACCTTCCTATGAGCGAGGCGCAGGAAGCGCGCATGTGTGCGCGCGCGAGGCGTATGGGCGTGTGAATATTGCGCGCGTATGTGCGCGTGAGCGTGGGAAGACTGCGCGCATATGTGCGCGTTCTAAGGTAAAAAGGGCATGGTGCCGCGTCATGCGTGCGAAGAGAAAATAATACTATTGAGCTACGCGGGCACAATCTAAGGTTGTTTTCTTGTTTTTGGAGACTCCTATGTGCATATATATCAGTAAGTTATTAGTTCTTTGGATGGCGTTATAATGAGAGAAAATAAAATGAAAGAGCGCTGGACGAAACCCAGGGTAAAACGAATGGTATCCTATGAAACAGCGATGGTATACGTTGTTCTTTGATGCGCAGCTGAGGCGCTTGATCCTCCTCCTTGAGCGCGTGCGAGTGCGCGTAATAGCGCACTTCGCGTCTCTTGTGAGCTAACGCGTTACCCAAGGTAGGGTTGGAATGTGTGAGGCTGGCGTGCTTGGGTGGGCTTGTGACTGGCAGAATGAATTCCTGCACAACGCGCTGCAGGTTGAAGGCGCGCCAATGGAAGGCGCTGCAAGGGGTGTAGGGGCACCCTACAAGCTGATAGGATGCGCGCGATGCGCGCGCCTTGGTGCGATTTCGCGCGAATTTGATTATATTGGCCGAACACGCGAGGAACGGCCACTTCTCTGTAAATGTGTTAGTGAGAAATGTATAGTGAAGTATTAGGCGCAAATGTTGCGCCAATGGGCTGTAAGGGTGGTATATCAAGGCGCAATAGGCGCATAGGTGAAGGAGAATAGTGCGCATCAAGGCGCACAGGAATGAAATTGACATGGTAATAGTGCTGCCGAAGTCCGGTTCGGTTCGGTTCTTGGGGCAAATTTTCCGAACGCCGAACCGAACCATAGGTTCGGTTCAGCCATTTGGTCGAACCCTGGACCGAACGTCACCGAACGCGTTCGGGAGGGTCCGGTTCGCGTTCAAACCAGGTTCGACTAAGCTTGGACCATCTGTGGTTGTATAGGCTCGAGACCATGAGTTGTCATGTAATTCGAGTCGGACAGACAACGAAAAGACTCTAACGCAAGGAGAACTTCTTTGTACAAAGATTGAATTCAAGTTTCTAAAATAAACACATTTTATTTGCCCGGTGCACATAGTTCCCTGATCACATTCTCATCGATCCTCTTCTCTAAACATATCTCAAACGCAGCAGCATGTACGGTTGCAGTATTCGAGATTGCAAGCGTGTCAATCTTCGCTGCAGGATTCTCTGAAAGGCGGAAAGCCCAGAGAATAACAGCCGTATTGATGAAGATGGACCGATTCACGACATGTTGACCAGGACACACTCTAGTATTTTCAAGTAAGGCATGAGAAAAGGTGGAAAGATGAACGATACCACTCACCGGCGGCCAAAACCAAAAGTGAAAAACTTGAGATCAGTGATCACCGCGCTAAACCCGTTCGAACCTATTCACTACCAGCCCGAACCCCGAACCTCTGGAAAGGTTCGGTTCTGAGTCTTGGCCGAACCTTGGACCGGACCATGCGTCCGGTTCGGAAAGGTTCAGGTTCGAACCGAGGTTCGGAACCGGACTGCGGCAGCACTACATGGTAAGCAAAAGTGCGAAGAATGCGAATAAATGTGCGAAGTGCGAAGTTAAAGGTGATGATAGGGGGGTTAGGCGCATATGTATGTGTCAGGCGCGCGCCTATGTCGCGCCTGGATGTCTGATTGGAATATACCTTGTGTTGAATGATAGAAATGCGATTTAGAAGGGGAGAAGCGATAGAAATGCGGTAGCGTGAAAACTCTGCTAAAATTATGAAAGCACGAGGCGCAGGAATGCGCGCACATATTGCGTGATGCGCGCGATCATGGCGCGTGAACAAGGGGTGGTGCGAAAATGAAATTACAGTGTTTGGAAGCGTCATATAGCTCCTTAAGAGCTTCAAACATGAAAAAGACAAAAAATGCGAAACAAGATGAGGAAAAATATACCGTGCCTCTAGGCGCGCGCATTGCGCGTCCTCAGGCGCAATATGGTGCGCCTGAGTCGCGCCAGGGTCGCCTGAGACATGCTCTGCTTGGTGGTTAGATGGCGTGATGCACGGATGCTTTACCGGCATGCGATAGTCACTGGAAGCAAAAAGTGCGATGTGCGCGTGATCGCGAGTGACATCTGGAATTTCCAGAGACAAACTCTGGTTGATGCAAGGTGCGACTTGAGCCTCTGATGCGGCAGAAGGCTCCTCTATAGGCGCGCCAAGGTGCAATGGATGTTTGGGGTCATCCCTGACCTCTGATGATGCAAGCAGTGGTAGCGGTGATGGTGATGGCATGATTGGCGAGATTTCTTCCTTAAGTGTTGCGATAGCGAGGGGCGAGCATGTTTCTAGCGGTGCATTAGTGTGCAATAGATGATTAGAGTCATCCCTGACTAATGGCGAGGCTATAGCGATAGGCGCGTGCGATGCGATAGCGATAGGTGCGCGTGTTTCAACTGGCGCGTTAGTGTGCAATAGATGTTTAGAGTCATCCCTGACTTCTGGTGATTCGATAGCGGTAGGCGCACGCAATGCGATAGCGATAGGCGCGCGTGTTTCAACTGGCGCGTTAGTGTGCAATAGATGTTTAGAGTCATCCCTGACTACTGGCGAGGTGATAGCAATAGGCATGCGTGATGTGATTGGCGAGGTTTCTTCCTTAAGTGATGCGATAGGTGGGCGTGTTTCAAGCGATGGCGTAATAACGTCCACAATGGGCGCGTTACTGTGCAATAGATGTTTAGAGTCATCCCTGACTGATGGCGAGGCTATAGCGATAGGCGCGTGCGATGCGATAGCGATAGGTGCGTGTGTTTCAACTGGCGCGTTAGTGTGCAATAGATGTTTAGAGTCATCCCTGACTTCTGGTGATTCGATAGCGGTAGGCGCGCGCAATGCGATAGCGATAGGCGCGCGTGTTTCAACTGGCGCGTTAGTGTGCAATAGATGTTTAGAGTCATCCCTGACTACTGGTGAGGTTGATGGTGGTGGTGATGATGCGGATTGTGAAGGAGATGGTGCTGCTGAGGATGATGGTGAAGAGGCGCCTGCAGTGCGCTTCTGGTTGCGCTTCGCGAGCGCGCGCTCGAGTTCGTGATCTAAAGTGGTGCGTTCTGGTATGGCTTTGCATGCTGATGCAGTTGATGGTTGAGGTGCGCGTGAATCGCGCGAAGGCGCAGGAAAGGCGTGCGCACGAGGCGCGTGAATAGGAACTGGTGGCCTTTTGTCAAGTACAGCTTCTGAGGATGTGCGATAGAAGAGTCCAGCTGTCGCATTAGTGCTAATGGTCATATCCTGCATTGCGCGGCTTGCATGATAGCGATCTTTACACTTAGCCACCTTAACTTGCACTGGCGCAGTTGCTGTGACTAAGGTAGCAATTGGCGCTACTATGGGCGCGCTAACTGGCGCGCTTGGCGTGGGAAAAGCGCGC